CTTCCTCTGTTCCAAATGCACAGTGGAAAACTTGTACCCATGAGGACTGGACCAGTTGTTTATGTGACTAATTGGATGTCTACATAAAAAGGAGAATAGGGGCAGGTCCGGCTATTCTCATCTGTTCTAAAGCCAGAGCTTGCTCTAAAGTGGAGAGGCATGTAGACTGGAGAGAGGGGAACCATTTAGCTGTCCTTTGCTGACTCTCTTATGTAAGCTCCAAGGTCAAGAAGTCTTCATTTTGTTTCCAAGTAGCAGGAGGAAAGACAAGTTTTAAGGGTCAATTATCAGGGAGGGACAGGGCTTGGGAAGGTTCTAAATTAGGGTGCCGATTTTATAGATTTGACAACAATGGGACATGTGAAGAAGAGACTAAAGAGAGGGATTGGAGGAGAAATGTCCTGAGGGAAGAAGATGAATATCATTAGATGGACAGTTGAGGATGGACAGGAGAGAGTCAGCTTCTTCACAGACAGGAGATAAGTGAACAGTCAAGGAGAAAGAAGAAAGAGGGAAATTTTGACTTTGAGAAAAAGAAAGCTGAGAAAACTCAGTGTACCAGCAAATTAGGAGGAAATGAGAAAGAACTGTAGGACAAGTATTTGGGGATAGTTGAACCTAAGAATGCAGTGGAGAGCTCTAAAGAGGTGAATTAAGCCAAGCGCGGTAGTGCACATCTCTAACCCTAGCAGCTCGGGAGGCTGAGGCAGGACATCTGGAATTCAAAGCCAGCCTCTGCAAAAGTGAGGCGCTAAGTAACTCAGTGAGACCCTGTCTCTAAATGAAATACAAAATAGGGCTGGGGATGTGGCTCAGTGCTTGAGTGCCCCTGAGTTCAATCCCTGGTATCACCCCCGACACACAAAAAAAGAAGTGACTTAAAGGGTGGCCATGCAGTCATGGGAGCCACCCAAGACAATGCAGAATCCTAGTGGGGCAAAAGGGGCTCATATTTGAAATATATGAAAAAATATTCAATGTCTTCAGAAATTAGGGAAACACAAACCAAAACCACTAAAAAACAAACAACAACAACAAAAAAAAAAAACTATACAGATTTCTTCTCATTCCAGTTAGAATGACAGTCATCAAGTATACAAATAGTAATAAATGCTGGAGAGGATGTGGAGGAAAACAAAAGGAAGAAACACTTTCACACTTTTATTCAGTCAAAAAGAAGAATGAAATCATGCTATTTGCAGGAAAATGGATGGAACTGGAGACGATTATGTTAAGCAAAATATGCCAAATTTAGAAGATTAAAAGTCAAATGTTTTTTTCTCATAGGTGAAAGGTAGAAAGAAAAGGAAAAAAAAAGAAAGGTGGTCATGGCAGAGGGGCGGGGTCCCATGAGAATGGAAGGGAAACCAGTAGAGGAAAAGAACCAGAGAGAGGAGAGTAACAGGGGAAATTGATACTGGCAAAATTATACTGTTATATCATGTGCATGCACAAATATACAGCAACAAATCCCATCATTACTTATAACTATAATGTACCAATAAAAATATGGGGAAGAAAGGTTGTGTTTGCAGGGTCTATTTTGCAGATGGGCAATTCTTAATGGTCATTATATCCAAGGCGGAACTTTGTGAGTGCCAATAAAGGACATCATAGTTGAGAATTTCTTGGATTCCAAGAAAATACACAGCCCAAGTATTAATGTCACCCTATGGCTTATGAAGCCAATGAGGAGGTAAAAAGAGAATTTAAAATTTTCACAGTAATTTCTTGATAACCCTTGCATGACCTAGCAATGCTTCATCTGTGATCATAAAAAAGGCTTTGGGTGTGGATGGTACAGCTCTCAGAACCATCCACACAGCTTTTGATTTAGCAGAATAAGGTGTTTTTCATTTAAATTCCATCCTAGAACTGGATCTACTACATCATGGGGAATAATGGGGATAAACAGGAGGAGCTGGAAGGATCAAAACACTATGTCAGTTCCTGTAGACACTAATGCAACGTGAAGTCATCCTCTCTGCCTCTAGGTCTACAAAAGTCTAGCAGTGTTCTGAGTGTATCCTTGCCGTTCTTACTCCTTAGACTATGTGAGAAGGTTAGCATTTGGATTATAACTAGTTCCTTATAAATCATCCTTCTCGAAAAATTTTTAAAACCCCAACTCAAAGATTCTTCTCTTAAGAGCAGCGCCTTTTGAATTTATGTCTCTAAGTCTCACCTGGTACCTGGCAGGCATGTAGATGTTCAAAAATCATCCACAGAATGAATGAATGGACTCGCTGTGCTCTCTATGAGCCCATATTTCCCTGGGATATACTTTCGGGCTTTAAAGTCTCTGTGACCTTCTCCCATTCCTGTGCCATTCAGCATCTGAAAGATGCATAAGCAACTCTAACTCTGTAAACAAATTATTATGTGTTGGCCCCTGTAGGCAAGATCTACTTCTTCTTACTCCAGGTCTACCCTGGATTCTTTGCTCTTAATTTTGCTCATTCCTGGACTGATCAGTTGGCTGTGCCTCCTACAGAAACAGTGGAAGAGATTAAAGAAGGGGCAATAAATAGGAGGTAGAGTAGGGGAGCCTGAACAAGTGAAAGAAGACTGCATATATTGAGGCTTATATTAAGCAAAGCAGTCTCGACTTGAAATCTCCATTCCTACTAGACAGTAATCTCAGCTTTTTCCTGCCTTGGAACTGCTAATCACCAAGAAGGCAACTAGTCCATTCAACATGTTACGTAAGTCAGTAAAAGGTATCCTCTACAGAGTCGGAGGCAGCCAACCCCAAAATGCATGTCATGGTGAGAAAAATGTGGGCCAGAATTCAGTTGCACTGGATCATTTGAGCAGGCAGGCACCTTGGGCAGTAACCAACCTGCATTACGATGTTCTTTGTTCCTGATAGGTACTTACTCTTTGGAGCCTAAGTCTTTATTCCTAAGAACTACAATCTCATTCTAAAAGCTATCTATCAGATTCCTGGACTACACTGTAACAATTAGAAGACTTAGGAGAGCTGGGTTTGGTGGCACATACATGTAACCCAAGCTATTTAGGAGTTTGAGGCAGGAGAATCTCAAATTGAAGGCCAGCTTCTACAACTTAGTGAGAAGCTGCCTCAAAATTAAAAATTAAAAAGAGCTGGGGACATAGCTCAGTGGTAGAGTGCCCTGGGTTCAATTCCCAGTCCAGAAGAAGAAGGAGGAAGAAGAAAAAAGGGAGGAGAGTGAGGTAGATGGGAAGGGAGAGGAGGAAAGAGAAAAGAGGGAGAAGGGTATACTGCTATTAGGTGTTTGCATCACTATAAACATGTCTTTTCACCTTCAGTTAGCAAAACCAATGGGATAACTTTATGTGAAGGGCTTTTTCTGGTATGTTTGGGCAAACTCCGCAATCTCTTCATTTCTGCCTTTGTGGTTTAATTCCAGCAGGTAGAAGATTTATGTATATACAGTGTTTTAACCAGCTTTTAGTTGCTGGGACCAAAAGACCCAACCAAAACAATTTAGAAGGAAAAGTTTATTTTGGCTCATGGTTTCAGAGGTCTCAGTCTCTAGACGGCCAAATCCACAGCTCTGGGCCCAAGATGAAGCAGAATGTCATAGCAGAAGGGCTATGCAGGAGGAAAGTAGCTCAGGACATGGCAATTAGGAAGCAGAGAGAGAGTTCTACTCACCAGGGACAAAATATGTACCCAAGGGCATACCCCCAGTGACCCATTTCCCCCAGACACATCCTCCCTGCCTATAGTTACTACCCAGTTAATGCATTCAAAGGGATTAATTCACTGATGAGGTTATAACTCTCATAATCTAATTATTTCACCTCTGAAATTTCTTGCATTGCCTCACATATGAGCTTTTGAGGGACACTGCATATCTAAACCATAACATAAGGTCTTCCTTTCCTAACTGTACACTTCAGTAGAGCCATGGATAAAAGGTTGGGGGGATGGATTTCCCTCCATCCCTCGCTGGTCGAGTCTAGCTCTCCAGGGCTTTTCTCAATGCAAATCAGGCAGCAAATCTTAGAGTATCAGTGACACAGCTTGATTAAACCCTGGGTGGGCTGTCCTACCACACCACACCAGCTGGACCCCAAACTGACAATGTTCAATGCTTACAGAGCTGTCAAAATTGGAGATGGTGTGGGACTGAGTAAAGGTTATGACCGTGCCAAAATCTGCAACTGTGTTTTCTGAGTATGCTCTGTTTCCAAACTGGAAAAAAAAAA